TTTGTCCAGAGCTGGGGCTACATCTTTCTTCCTGAAACAAACATTTTAATCTTGGTAAAGAAAGTCACAATTTTAAAATACTCAGGGGTACCAAATTATGCGGGTTGGTGTAGTTGGTAGTTTCAAATAAAAAGGTCTTATTTTACAATAAATTACCATAGGTACCCTTAACTAAAAGTTTTTAACTGGTTTATTCCGCCTACAAACGTGCGACACAAAATTGATCTTTGAGGGGCTTTCTTTGTTTGTTAAAGACACATGTTAACCTCTTGCCACATTACCAAGAGTTATTCTTCTTGCTAGAAGAATAACTCTTGTTAATGTGGCAAGAGGTAGATATCTTCCTGAGGAGGATCTAATTGGGAAGCTACAGACTTTTATCGGACGACTGAACTTGTAACTTCAAGAAAACAACTGTATGGGGTGCGCAATAATTTTATTTTTGGATGAAGTGCTTTATGGTCTTGGCCTGCCCCTGTTAACAGTTTTAACAGGATCAGCAACAGGTAAATTAAACCTTTTATATTTTGTCTAGGCCTATATTTCCCTGATCAAGTTAGTGCAAAGAAGTTTTTGTTGAATAATAGTTGTAAAGGCTTTAATTTCCTGATTTGAAATAAGTACCTGGGGACCGAGCCATGGCGTAGTTTATTTTGATTGTAAAAGCAATATACAGGAATGGATGCTTTAGAAGAATTTGAAATTCATAAAACAATCAAAATTCAAGCTAACACATTATTAAACGACAAAATCAGTTTACAGTCTAACGCTCTGTATGATACTCTAATAAAAAAACAAGAACAGCTGATGAACAAGGAGCCGAGCTGTACATACAAAGTCCACTGCCCAACCATCTTCCGCATCGCAGTCATGACCCTCATCTGCAACTGTGCGCACGAGGTTGGGGTTGGACATTGTAAGTTTTTGTCAGTAAGCCTACTCGTTTTGTTCATAAAACGTCTATGACTGTAAATAGTATATGTCCATGTTTCGCATTTAAACTCTTGATGACCCTTTCGAAGTTACAGTGTTAAATGTTCTTGTACAAGATCTCATGATGAGGACTTAAGTCCTTAAAACCCGTAATCTATAAGGACTAAACAGGATCAATCTGGCAGTACTGAGGTAATTTTATACCTTTTATAGTTGGTTCATTGATCTTGAGACAAAACAACTCAAATATGAAAATGAATATTATGTTATTGATATATTTTAACGTAAACAGTAGGGCAATTACAATGTTGGTCATAATTGTTTTTATACAGTAGGCCAACATTTGGTGGCTTTTGTTCATGAATTCGGACTACTTAACAACTGTTTGGATTAGGTGGTATTGTTCATCTTCCCGTTGCGAAGCACGGGCACAGAAGCTAGTAAATTATTAAGTGATTTAATAAATAACTCTATATATAATATTTACAATAAACTATACCTTCAAAAACCTGTCTGTTTAACGGATGATATGGCAGACATACACTTTATCTCACTAGGTGCTCTTCCTTAAGTTCTTTTACGGAGTACAGCGGCCTATAATTAGTATTCCTTTCAGCGCCTTCTGAAGGAGGGTGCATCCATCTCCTGCAAATGAGTAGGCAGTTATGAGTTGTAGTTAATAGTAGAACGAGGATAGCTATTCTAGGTACGTTTGAGACGACAGCAGGAAAAGTCTATATTTTGTGCTCTTCTGGTATAGTACTCCTGCACCCCAGTGGCGGATCCAGAAGGGGGGGGGCAGTCGCAGTTTGGAAATATATGTCATATATTTTTGACTGCATGTAATACAGTAGTGCATACAAATTGCGTAAAATAATTTGTCACACTAACTTAGGACAAAGAAATGGTATAAAACTGCCATTTTTGAAGACTTAGTTTAAACAAATTTTTGGGGAGGGAGGGGGTACCCCGGAACCTCTCAGACACCCTGGTCCCCCCCCCCTTGTGTCTGTTCTAGATCCACCACTGCCTGCACGTCATCTTTTCTAGGGTCAGGATATCAAGCACTACGCCGTGAGTACCCTTAAGCTACATTTCCATTCCTACAAGTCGCAGGCACAAGTCGAGGCACATGTCGAGACCATGACGAGGCACATGTCGCACGTAGTTTGTCATGCCGTTTCCATTCCAGGCACAAGTCCCGCGACTACAACTGGCAGACAAGGCAGTGTTCTCTTTTATTGTGATGTGGTGAGGTTCGGTGGCTGATTTTGATTATATTGTGTTCTACAAATCACCATGGATGACATAACAGCCTCTGCTTTTTTATTTATGGCTGGTGCATACAATGAACTTAGAAGAAAACTACCTAGATAGTGGATAAGAAGTTTTTTGGCTAAAAGAGCATTGGAAGGTGCATTTAATCAATTGATGAGAGATTTGCGCGTACAAAGTGGCTTCGAAAATTTCCTCCAACGGACTCAACGAAATTTGAGGTTATGATTACCTGTCATTTATGAGCATGCGGTAGTTTGGAGAACCTGCGCATGCACAAGTTGCAGGCGTTTTGTCGCGCAGTCGGCGGGCAAAAATTTGTGCCGCGACTTGAACCAGGATGTTTCCATTCCTACAAATTTGGAGATTTGTGCCGGCACAAATTTGCAGGAATGGAAACGTAGCTTAAGATCCTTTAAGATTGGCCGGCAATGATCCAAATGCCACACAACTGTAATAATCCTAAAGGTTCTGGACAGCATCGTTGTATCATCTGCAAATAATAATGTTTTCCCATTCAGATTAAGGCAGGATTTTGTATAGGTTAGGCCTAACTTATACCCTTAACCTCATTGACGGGTAGGGCAGTAAAAATCAAAGCAAAAATTAAAAGCCGAGTAGGCTAAGTTTATGGGAAGATTTCACTAGCTTAGTGTAGCCTAATGTTTTTAATATCATAAAATAAAAATGTCTTAAAATATTATTAGACTAGCCTAGGCTATTCATGGGGTTACAGCTCTTTTGCTTGATGCATTGAAATGGATTTGATGAAGTAAGTTTAGAACTACATATTACAACAAGTACTATTACCCCTGATCTATTTAACTGCACAACTATACTTATTATTTATTTTAACGTCTGTGATAGAGCCTAAGTTATATATTTGATAGGCTATGCATAAAAAATGTGACTATGATAATAGGCCTATATCGCTATTGATCAAGTAGCCTATATACCGTGAGTTAATGTGTCTCAGACGAAGTCTATAGCAATCAGTGATTATTCAACGACCAATAAAATGGGCCTACTTAATTACTTGATGTCTTTAAGATGGCTAAGTTATTTTGTTAGTAGTATCAACTAAGTTTAGACTAACCTACAAGGTTTATTACCACACATAAAAATGTTTTGATGGCCGTTGCCCTGGCGGTAGGTTAGTTGCACATTTGCTACATACAAAATCCGGACCCTGTAGGGTAGGTTATAATGCGGTAGAATGGCGATAAACTTAGGTTAGTTGCCCATTGACGCCTTGAACAATAGATCTCTTGAAATTGTAAAGAGCAATGAAGCGTAGGCCTACGAAAAAGCCAGTCTACCGAAATATGCAAATCATTATGAATTTAATGTGTACCATGTAACCTTGTAAGTTATAGCCATCCACCTCCACCTGTCACGTAAAGCCACAATAATCAAAGAAAAAATCACACTACTCCAGCTGCTGAGAGTATCAAATACGTATAGGCTATGCTATAAAATGCTAAAAACTCAAATGGTAAACTAAAACTGTCATACGAAAAACTTTATACTTTGTCAGCATCTTATAAAAAATAAAAATAAAAAATAAAACTAGTGCACTTGTTGCTCGAAATCGATCAATAGTCTAGTACCGGAAGTTATATTAAAACTAATAGTCATAATTTTCTATGAGTTTAAAAATCCAACTAAAAGCGCAGTACTATGCAACTAATGGTTAGACTAGGCCTATTTGATGTATCGATTCATTCGGTTAGCTAAGTTAGGTTAGGTTAACTTTACTAACCAAACTTGATATATTGAATGAAATAATCGATTTATCGATCGATATATTTACTCGAATTATAGTGTAGGAGGTAAGGCATAAAGTTCAGTTTAATTTTAAAATAGTCATAGATATTTTAAATATCGATTATTAATCAATATTTTCAATTTGATAGTTTTAATCGATATTAGCGAAGCCCAGGAAACTGTAGGCCTACCCCCAATTTATTTTATAGGCTACCAGAAACTAATTTGAATTTGCTTGAAACGTTAATATTCTAATGACCATGTCCATGTCAATAAGTTACACCTTTCAATTTTGTGATGACAAAAATGGTTCTTTAAACTGTAGTAGTTGTTGGAACTTAGGCCTAAATTGAAAATACACATCTAAAATACAAATTTGTATGACAATTTGACAATTGAAATTGACAAACAATAAATTCTCCAAAATCCAACCTCAAACTTACTAGAGCTAGAGCAGCAGCAGATCTAGAACAGAAGAAGAAGAAGAAACGCAGAACAGAACAAGAAACTAAACGAAGGAAGGCTGAAATTTGGGTGGAGTAGTGGTAATTCAAAGAAGTCGCGGGAATTTTCAGAAGTGTAGAGGGTAAGCGACCGCACCGCGAAACATGTGACCACGGCGAAGCCACGCCCTTCCCCCAGAAGGGAGGGGCCGGGACCTAGCTGACCGATTTGAGTTGTCGGTACCAACTTGATATGTGATTTAAGTGAAATGGTACCTAGATGAAAGGTTAAAGGTTGCCTAAAAGAAGGCCTCCCGCTTTTATCCCCACTCCTCGTGGACAGAGCGAGGCAGCGGCGGACCGTTTTTCGAGCCCTACTTCAACCTGAGCGCGCAATCCAGGGAGTTATTATACATCGATGAGCAAAACTCAAACCTAACAACTCCCGTCAACCACGGCCACCTTTCACCAGCTGTGTGCTGTCTATTTCATTTCATTTATCTTATCATTTTTTCAGACAGCTTTTTAGGTCTGCTGAAACAAAATAACAGAACAGATACAACAATGCAATGGTAATTATAATAAATGTTGTTGTCTTTATGGTTAACCTAACCTTTCTTGGTTTATTGTAACGTAACAAATCTTTGCTATAGAGTCTGAAAGCTTTTAGGCCTACTAGCCTAGCTGAAAGTGTGAATGTTCACCAGTGTAAATTATAGAGTAGGTAATGATCGGAATATCAATACTGAGATCCACTATTCTTCATTGCGCAAGAGGTGTTGGTACAATCCATGATCTGAACAAGCCCATTATTAGTTCTCTTTTATTAAATCACTGTACAATTAACTGTTATTCAAGTTGTAAATCAAAGAAAATGAGTGCTGGAGAGCAAATTTCGACCTCATCGGACTTCTTTTTCAGACAGGTAGGTAGGCTTTTAAAGTGTTAAGTTAAGATCGCTTAAGTTAGATCTAAGTTAGGTTAACTACATTTTTCAAGTATGATTTAAAATTGTTGTTAGGCCTTTAAGGCTAGTGTAGCAAACTGCCCTGTCACAATGTTTAAGAAATTTTTGCTGCACTTTAGTTTGTCATAGGCCTAATACACTCATTCGAATGAATATATCGATCGATATTACCGGTATCGATTACTTCATTGGATACATTAATATCAAGTTTGGTTAGTTAGGTTAATCTAACCAAATTAAATAATTGATAAACTGATATACCTTTAAGACCGTACACTACAACCTGTAATGCGCTACGCTACGCTGCGCTCTCTGTGTGTAAGTATTGAACAATGCTGCGTTGTTTAGAAACCACAATTTCAGATAGAAATAAGCAATTTAAGAAAAATATAAGTTACAAAAAAAATAAAGGTATTAACCCTCCGAGTGTCCATAGTTTAGGCCTTAATGTCCACCTATTTTTGGCCCCTTTACAAGGTTTTATTAAAACGGATCTGAGAAGCTTAAAACAATGTTAATTCTAATGTTCTATATACCATTTTGTTTGGAAAATCATGGGCTTCAATATTATATATAAAACATAAGGAACATTTAAAAAAAAAAAAAATTTTTAGGTAAAAAAAAATATAATTTCGAAAATTTTCAAAAAAAAAATAAGTTCGCGCTCAATGAAATTGTATAAATTATAGGCCTATAAATATTTGAAAATAGCCACTTTGTTCTAAATTTAATGAGGATTACAAATATATAATCATATAGCGAGGTAAGTTATCAAATAAATAAGTTATGAGCGAAAAACGGATTTCAGTACATAGCGTTTAGCTAAGAATGCATAGCCTAACCATAGCTAGGAATCTGGCTGATAATTTACATCAATATCACTACCTACTTCTTCAGGATCATCAACCAGCACTTCAAAACCACTTAAATCTTCTTATAATGCACCACGTATATCACTACTTTTGATTTTTAACACTAAAACAATGATAAACGTAATAAAACACATCAGTCATCGGTCCGGGGGAACCTAGCTGTTTACAAATACACGCACGTCAGCTGTCTGCTACAATATTTTCGGAACTAAAATGAATAGCGCTTAGAGACAGACCTCTGCAGAAAGCTTAGAATATTACGGAAAGAACGATACCTAACTCGATCCAGTTCAATCCGATTCAGTCAGTCATAGAGCCTTCGCCGTAAACGATGTTTGTGCGTCTTAAAAGCGACGCGTGACCCTACACAAAGTGTGTTGTGCGTCGTTTTTATGACGCGTGACACTCGGAGGGTTAACAAGGAGCGGAGAGGGGATCAGGGGTAGAATGGCGCAGGCGGCGGTTACTCAACTATATACACGCCTGTAAATACAAGAAATTACTTAGACCTTGACCAGTCATGTCCCCTGCTCCGATCCCTGAACCTCACCACCGTGTTTATATAAATAATTTCTTAAAAGCCCTTTGGATAGACCACTTTAAACTTAATTAAGTATTCTAAGGTTAAAACAAATTACATAGCAACCTAAATTTTGCCGCCCCCAAAACATGCCGCCCGGGGCAAACGACCCCCCGCCTGTGCAAAAATAAATTAATAGTGTTGCACCCTGTTGGTAAACATTATAAATTTTTAATGCTATTGAATATCATAGCAAATTTGTTTAGTAAGAATAGCTGACAAAATTATTTAATTCCTCTTAAAGAATACTCATAAGGTTAACATGGAAAACTCCAGAGCCACTGGGGCGGAGCCCGGAAGGATTTTTGAGATAAGAATAGGTCTCTATGTTAATCGGGACCATGTGAGCTAACATCATGCCAAATTTCAGCCCAATCCGACCAGTAGTTAATGTGTGATTGAACTTCAAACAAACACACAAACTTTTATATAATAAAAATGAATCCCTTTTTTTGTTAGTAGGCCTACTCCATAACTCGAGAAGGAGTGCACCGAATTGGATGATTCTTTTTTAGTTGTGTTCGTTAGTGCCAGGGATAGGTTTTTATGTAAGAAAATTTATATTTCATCCAACCGTTATTTAGTGGGCTAACTTAATTTGATTTTAAAAATTAAAAAATGTTTTTGCTCATGAAACTGTGGGATACAATAACATGTGTTTAAAAAACCTGTTGATTTTCAACCAAAAGGTGAAAAGAGTGTACCATAGCGAAGGAACTTCAACTAGGACAAGATTGAGTGATGCGAACGAGCTCATCTTGAAAATGTACAAGCGTTTGACATAAAACCACATTAGTACAGGACGTCTGTCGGGCCAGCTAGTTTAAAATATTTGTAAGATAAGATATAGCATAACGTTTGTTACGATTCCTTTTATTTTTTCCAGTTGTTTGACTCAGAGAGCAGTACCTATACATATCTTTTGGCAGATGTTAACTCTAAAATAGCAGTGTTGATAGACCCAGTCCTTGAGCAAGCAGAGAGAGATGCACAACTGATCAAAGAGCTTGGGTTCACTCTAAAATATGCTAGTAAGTATAGTTTCTGTGATAAATTATCATTTTTTTAGTTTAAAATATGTTCCTATCCTACTGCACAAGACATCTATGAATACAGTCATATTTAACATTCGTTATCAGTTACCACAATAACACAGAATTAACCATTTGTTAAAGACCAGTGACAAATATACTTCAATACTTATCATTGAAATTAAGCCAAGTATGAATGGAGATGAGTGTAGTATGAGTGGCGCGATCTTGTAGTCTTGTTAGTGACTAAGGCTGACATATTCGTTAGACACATCTATTAATTAATAGCCCATACAGCTAATGGCAACTAAGGGACTAACAGTTTATAGTGGAATCCGAACGACATTTTTGCCTTGGTATTAATTAACGAATTGGACATATTATCAGGATCGTACTATGGATAGTCATAGTTACTTACTAGTGTGGACGTTAATCCGCACCAGGGAGTATCTCATCCACAGTGCATGCCTATAAATATCCATAATTTGTGACCTCCTAGTAGCTGGATTACAGGACGACGACACTGTCCCAGTCAGGCTACGTTAAAATGTGGGAAATGTGGGATGGCTAGTTACATGGAAGTATACTGGAGATGCTGCATCGGTTTTCTAATGTGGGCTGACATCCTCGCAACTGTTGGATTTGAATCCCTGCACTTATGCTTTAGTTTGTCTGATGCGTTGTGTATGATAATTACTGACGTCATTTAACTGTTTTTAAATTTTATTTAGCTGAATTACTATCTATATTTTGCATAAGTACCAGTAGCCTTAAAGACGTGTCTGCGTTTTTGTTTAGAGTCACTGTTAGAGTTTTTTAGTCCTACGCAAGATTATTAAATAAAAAAACAATGTCTCATCTGCTGAATGACAACAGAAAAATTCTTTATTCCTTCAAAAACACACAAATATTGTATGCTTGGGCTACTTTTAGAAATATAAAATATTGTCTGTGCTATAGACTTTGCTCTGAAAAAATGTGTCATTACAAATAGTACTCAAGATATGGTTTACAAATACTGCTGATTTATCTTTAATATTTTAAATGTGATTAAATACATCCCTTTAATTGAGGTTGCTCTTAGGAGAGGGTTTATTGAAAAACTGATATTTTTCGGAGAAGTTTCACATATACTTGAATTCTTTATTTTGAAATGGCGACCATACGAATAAAGGTACAGTCTAGCCTTGATATAACGAACCTCGATACAACAAATTCCTTGATATAACAAATTTTTTTAAATCCCCTAGAACTCTCCATAAGACACAATGTATATTTTACCTCTACATAACGAACAAACCATAACAACGACCTTGATTTAACAAATTTTTTGCGATTTCGGCTAAAATAAGACACCTCAATATAGCGAATTTGTCATTGTCAGAACCTCTACATTGCGAATTTAACCTCTGCATAACGAATTGTCTACGTCTTTCCCTCGATATAACAAATCCCTCACCCCATTATTGTTTTTGAAAAATCTGTTTCTTTATCAAATGAAATGGAAAGGTGACGTCATCGCTTATCGCTTGCGCTAACATTCGTCTGCTCCGGTTTACACATCTCTGTCTGCTGTCGCTGCGCGCGCTATGTTGCAACTGAGAACTGATTTCATTCACTGAGGACTGATGACGACGTAATGTTTAGTAAGCTGTGATTGAGCGATAAGTAACTATGGTGAATTGTACAATTTTTGGATAAAGAGAAACCTAAGAAAGAATATAACAACAAAACCAAAGGGAAAGAATAGCAACATCGTTATTTTAACATTCCTTTTTCGAGTGTTTTTATTATCTTTAAGTTGGCTATGATTATACACTTTTATAATGACTTATCTAATAATTTATTGTTTTCAATACGATTTGTTTCAACTAGCAACACCAATGCTATAGTTCATGATTATTATTGACATTCCTCTGTTGTGATAAATCAGTACTGTACTGTAAGTAGCCTACCGGCCTATCACGATCAGTAGCTTACAAAAATTTCTATTACTGTTTTGTTTTGTTCTTTACATGGTTTATGACTACGCAATACAGTGTTTGGCTAGGTTTTAGGAGGGTTAGAACAAGCTGTGATTTTAAACTTACAGTTTTTAACCTGTACCAAGGTCAATGCAATTTTCATGATTGCGCAATATTCAAGATCCCTCCCCTTTTTTATGCCGGATAATTTAGGTTCTACTGTACAATGTAAACACTGTACTGTAAAGTATTGTAGCATATGCTACTTTAACTTAATTGTGTTTTAATGATGTCTAATCCCGACCTATATTGACCGACGCTGGTTCTGAACCTCGACTTAGCGAAATTCCTGCAAACATAACCTCTATATAACGAACCTCGTTTCAACGAAATCCTTGATATAACGGATATTCAGTTCGGTCCCTTCAGATTCGTTATACTGAGGTTGGACTGTATTTTAAGTCAAGTATTAATGGAGATGAGTGGCGCAATCTTGTATTCTTGTTAGTGACTAAGGCCAATATTTTGATTGATGGCGAACACCTTAAAAAAAGTGAAATGTACTGTGCATCCAGCTTATAATGCAAATGTGTTATAAAAAAATTGCACTAACTTCCTAATTTTCACGTACCAGGTATCCTGTTTGTATGTCACTGGTAACTCTCTCTCTCTAAACATTTTGCACTAAATCAATTTAAAATTCATGTCGGATTAATAATCAACTATTTTTGTTGTGCAGTGAACACACACCTCCATGCAGATCATATAACAGGGTCTGGTAGACTGAAGCAGTTGTTGCCGGGCAGCCGCAGTCTGATTGCTCGAAGCAGCTGTGCCGAGGCTGACATACATGTCACTCCTGAGGATGTCATACAGTTTGGATGTCATTCCCTCTCGGTCAGGTCCACTCCAGGACACACCAACGGTGAGATTACTGATTACATTTTAAACCAAAGTTAATTTATGCAAGGTAAAATAATCCTTGATTGTGACATCTTTAAAATACAAAGTAAAATTAAAAAATATAATTGAATTATAAAAAAATGTTGGTTTGTATTTTTTTTAGCTAGACATGATGGAAATTTATATAAAAAAATTATACTGCATGTTACCTTCATGGGTGTTGCAATGGTCGCGGTAGACGATTACCAAAGTCACGAAGACTTCAAGGTTTCTCTTCAGATTTATATTTGTCAGTGTATAGAAGAGTGACGTCAGTTGTAAGTAAATAATAAAAAGACTATTGCGTTCAGCTTCAAAATATGCAATGTTGAATGATCGAAAACACATTTTTGTTTAAAGTATATTTCTCTGCATTATCCCTGTGCTTTTTGGTAAAAAAAACTACTGAGTAATAAATTTAGTAAATTATTTGGAGCATATTTGCGTAGTTGTGAGTCACACTTAACATATAAATAAGAGGTTAATTTACTGTATCGTCTTGTGACTCTTATACCTTCTCTAAAGGCGGATTTATTTATTATTTATCCGCCCTTAGAGGGGGTATAGGAGTCAAAAGGCGATACTATGGTAAAATAACCTCTTTTTTATTTGGAGCAATTAGAAAAAAAAATTTTTACTAGTTGAAGGTCTAATGTGTTGCAGCTATAAATGAAGTTAATGTTGTCTAAAAGATTTTGGTACATTACTTAGTTAAACGCGCTTTACAAATAATTTTGTTGTGCCAGGTTGTGTTAGTTACGTGAGTGAGAAACAGGGTCTGGTGTTCACGGGAGACGCAGTTCTCGTCCGAGGCTGCGGAAGAACTGACTTTCAGGAAGGTGACGCAGAAACTCTCTACAACTCAGTTCACACACAAATATTCACTTTGCCTGATAACTTCAAGATATTTCCAGCTCACGACTACAAAGGTATGTCATCTCTAGATCAAGTATACAAGTAGTCCTCACTATGTGGAATCTTGGTTTGCATAATTACATATACTTTTCACCAAAAAAATTCAGCCTATCTTTAGTCATTTTGGTTGTTGATTGGAATGCACTGTATTTTACTGTCTGACACGTTTTTTTTTTGTTACAAGTACCTAATTGAAAAATTGATTCTTTACGGACTGTGCCAGTCTCTAGAGATGTATGGCATTTTGTATTTTTGTGGCACTTTGCTTTATGTGGCCCATTGCTTTGTACAAAACTTTGCTAAAATGAGTCTTCCTCATATAGTGAGGACTTTTTATAGTAAAAAATACCCCTGGCCCTGTCACAGCAATTCTTCAGACTAAGCGAATTTCCATTTGTCTGATTGAATTTTGAAGTACCTACTATTATATTTCTTGAAATGTGTCAGATTCATTCCTTATTCATTAAATACGTAACCTAGTTCCAAGGTTTTTTTTACTACAGGCAAGGAAAAAGGTGTTTTGGGTAGAATGTTAAGTATAAAATAGGGATGGACGAGATTGGATTTTTAGTTTGAGACGAGACGAGATGGGATTTTTTTATTTCTCATAAAATGTTGAGACAGGATGTCCTTTCTCATACATAACGGGAAATGCACGTTCTACATTTTAACCTGATTTTGTAACATTGTTTAATACCTACTGATTTATGACAGACTAGCTGTACCCGCGGGCTTTGCCCCGTTTAACTTCATAAGTGAGCTCGTTCGCATGGCTCAATCCCGTCCTGGTTGAAGTTCGTTCGCTACGCTCACTCACCTTTAGGTTGGAGCTTGTTCGCTGCGCTCACTTGCCTTCAGGTTAGCTCGTTCGCTACGCTAACTCGCCTCCAGGCTGAAGTTCGTTCGCTATGCTCACTCACCTTTTGGTTGCAAGTAAGCTGTTGTCATAAATTAAAAAAAAAATTATAGTGCTGCTCCCTGTTTGTAATCCTTGTAACTTTAAGGGGATACGCCACTATCTGTAGGCCATATTATTAATTTTTTTTACATTTTCCAAAAGTTGCATTTTTAGATAGGCCATTTAAATGTGAACATTTAGCTAAAATTGTTTGCCAATCTGACAACTCCTTCTAGTATAAAAAAAATAAAATATAAAACGCCGCAACCAGCAATTTAACTAAATTTTGGACTATTTTTTTTGGTCCTGATATTTACACTTTTAATTGTGTATATCATAATTATGTATTATGAAGGTATAAAGTAGGGTACATTTATTTAAAACAAAATAAGTACTTTGCTATTTTTATATATAATATAAAATAATAAATTAGTGTAGTTATGAGAATTTTTCTCCTGCCAACCACCTGTTACATCACCTGCGATTATCTCAATACCGTGTTTTTTAGGTTATTATTGTACAAAAGTTTGAATAACTCCATTAGTACTATACTTATAGTATTCAAATTTTCACCAGACCTTCTTTATATAGTAATAAAGGATTGTGTGTATAGTAAGCCCTATAGCATTACATTTACTAAAAATATTTATGTTTACGCAAAACTTTTAAAATTTTTTTCAGCTTTTTTATATTTTGAATAAAAGGTGTCCTAAAAATTTTGTTTTTTTTAGTTACCATAACGATTATACACAGAATTACTGATTATTTCATCCTGAATCAGGAAATAAATGGAATATGTCATTCCGATCAGTAGTTGAAAAGTTATTCTCAATAACGACTTCTTAAAAATTTTGGTGAAAAAAAACTAAAAACGCATATAAATTTAGTAAATAAGTTATAAACTCAATATTTTTGTACCGGTACCTAAATCTTTTAATTAAGTCTAGTATAAACAAAATATACTAACTAGGTTGACAAAAATAAAATAATAAAAAAAAAGTTGGAGATAGTGGCATATCCCCTTAATGCTATTGAACATCATAGAACAGAACCAACTTGTTTAATTGAAACAGCTGTTGAGATTCATTAAATTCCTTTTAAATATGAAAAGTCATAAGGTTAACATGGGAAACTCCAGAGCCACTGGGGCGGAGTCCAAAAGCCCGACCAGAATAAAAACTACTTAGATTTCCTATTTAATGCCCAAAGAATCGGTGTACCGAATTTCAGCCTCCTAGGTAAATGGGAAGTGGGAGAATTAGTGATGAGTGAGTCAGTGAGGGCTTTTCCTTTTATATATATAGATGACTGGTTAAATACAAAAATAATAATAGGCAAGAATATTTAAAATCCTTATCCAAAAACCTCCTGGTCATCCTACAGTTATACAGCAAATTATATTTTATCCTGGTAAAAGTAACCTCATATCACAGTTTCACAAGATAACAACACAATGACAGCCAAACTGCCGGAGAATCAATAAACAATGTTAAAAAAGTGTGTAGGATGGCCACCAATGCTGGCCAGATGGGCTGACGGGGAAATCAGTGGTTGCCAGCTGTGCTGGCCATTCGAGTTGAGAGGAACTTTCCTAAAACGGCTTTGAGACCGCAAAGGGTTAAGAACACAGAAATTGTAAATATTATACAATGTTTAATTTTTATTTGTAACCCTTCAACAACATTCAACAATGCTTCAATATACACAGTGATTTTGTTTTCTTAAGCTCTTTACTTGTAATGGAAATTGGCTATGTTCATGTTATACGGGTAAAATTAAAAATTAAAACAACTTTTAAAACATTTCTGAATCCCATAACAATTTGTTCCCACCTTATCTTGCTAGTTTGTTAACACATTCACGGTTATCCTATCTGAAAAAGTAAAAATATTTTCAGGGTTCACCTACTCGACCGTGTTGGAAGAGAAGACTTACAATCCTCGACTGACTAAATCCAAAGCTGAGTTCATCAAACTGATGAACAATCTTAATTTGCCATATCCTAGGAAAATAGGTAAGTTGTTGTTTCATCTTAACTATCACTTGTTTTTCTATTGTAAATTTTTTGTTATTTCTAGAGATGAATAGAATTGTACTTTAATTTCAGGACGGGATGGAATTTGTATTTTCTTCCCAATTTTTAGATAAAAAATTATTGATTTGATAATACCTAGTTATTTAAATCTGCTGATTCATTTGTTTTAGTTCTCAATCACATAAGATAAATATTATTTGTTATAAACTAATTTAGTTTACATAAATAAAATCTATAAAATACTGTAACGGTACCTATTTGATCAGTGATGGTTTCCAAATGGCGTATAATACTTGCTCTGTATTATTTGATTAGTGGTCATCATCCAATTGTTTATCCTTTGTTCTCTGTTTAGATCATACTAGCTGTATGCCCGTTCTACGCATGGGGATCTTATAGTAGTCAGTTGAACCTTCATATAACCGTCACAAATGTAGTATCTGACAGTTTCAAGCCTTGATTTTAAACAAAAATGCTATGATTCTTTGTTTTGTTTATATTTACGTTGTTATTTTGTAACCATCACGGCAACCCATGAGCCCAGTGCTCGATTTGCGGGGGAACTTGACGGAATGGAACTCAGTACCTCTCTATCAGAACAGTAAAAATATTGGCATAAATAGGTACTGATCACTTTAAATAAGGTACTGACACCTATTTTTTTACAAATCGAGCACTGCATCAACCCAATTTTAAACTGTTAAAACTTTGAGTTACTTATGAACTATATAGGCATTATAAAGAATTAAAATTGTTTTTTCATCAACCTTCCAAAATATTGTCCAAACTATCTTGGTAAGTTTAGCTTTAATTTGTTTAGCCACTTTTCAGTGATAGTGTTAGAAAGTTTGCATCAAAGTTGATGCCAAAGAGCTTTGCTTCCCTCTGCTCAATAATATACATTTCACAATGTTGCATTACAATTTGAGTAACCAACATTGTCTGTTTTAAATTGGTATGTCCTACATATTTTGTATATCATTTTGCACTTTTTTGTAGACCACTAAACAATTAATTTTTCATTCATTCCTTGTTCAAACTTGTTAAAAAAAGTCAGGTTTAGTAATTAATTGAACTGAAGTTAATATTTTTGCAGTTGAGCGATTACATAATATCTTTGCTATAAAACTAGACATTCCATCCCCATGTTAAATTTGTCACCAGGTTTTTAATCAAAATTGATTTCATTGAGTATGCAGACTTTTAAACCCAATTACACTAAAGATGACTTATTGTAAGCTGGAGCTTTTATGTAACGCCGACTAGGTAAGGTAGAACAAATCTTTAGATACTGTCGCATTCATTTTTTTTATAAAAAATCTGTGAAAGGTGGTCGACATGGGATGACTACATCAATCAATATCCAAAAGTGAATGCTGATATGTAACGATTTGTTTCAGACGTAGCTGTTCCGGCCAACAAGAAGTGTGGTGTCCAATAAACACGAGAGTTAGACAGAGCGTGATTGTGATTGAAGCTGGAAGTTTATAACATAAAATTATTTGTGATTAGATATATTGTTTCATTACGTTCCAAATAATTATGCAGTTCAAAGAATATTGATATTAAAGCTTTTGTTTTGTTGTAGTAAAACATTAATTGTTATTTTATTTCATATTTTATGTGGCGAAGGTGTTTCAACTAAATGTGAAGCTGTGTATTATACCCACTGTGATAATCAATACAAATCAAAAGATGCATGATATTTTATGGTTTTGTGTAAACTATGTCAGAGCTTTGCTATATTTTAAATACATTAGGTATTAGATCACACATGCATTGTAAATAATCAATATTTCCATACATTATGTTAAAATAAAGCACAATAGAGTGTAATATAAGTTGACTGTTCTTTTGGCCTTTTATCCCATTGATTTGTTATGCCTACTTTAAGCTGCTAAAATCCAAAGTATAGTTGGTAAGTTTTAAAGAAATATGATTTAATATCTATAGTTCTCTGAATATTTTAAAATGTTATTATTATTTCCCTCTTAGGCCTATGTATTGTAGTGCAAAAACAATGTTCAAACTTGTCAATCTAAGCTTGAAAACTATTTTGATGTATTATCCATGTCCAACATTAACTTTGTTATTTATTCAACCTTCATAACTTTCGGTACAGTGCCGGAAAAGCTGAAGGCCTTCTGCGTGCCTCCCCCCCCGAGGGCAAAATCCTGGGATCGCCACTGAGACTAAGCGATGTTTAATTTGCCTGGATGTATTTTTAATTAATCCAATACATTAGATATCTATTATATTAAAGATTAAGTAGCATTAAGTTTAACAAGCACTGTACCTAGGTTTGCTGCAACAATATATTGTGTTTTTAGTAACCCATTTTCACCCCATAAACCCCCGTTCCAAAACCAAATTTCATCAAAATCGGACAAAAATGACTCAAGTTATCGCGTTAACCGTCGTTCATATATAACTACACTAATTTGAACAAATAGTGGTTTTGGCCTCTGGGGACATCAAAATGAAAAAGTACATTGGTCCTAAGCCCAGGACTTACCATGCCACCTATGTTAATAGCTACTTCCCTGTAAGGAAATATGTTAAAAGTATTAAAACGTAAAAATTAAGAATTAGATAACAGAAGATATGAATAAAATTTATGAATACGTTATCTTTATAACTTTTTGTAACCAGTAGATAATTTTATATCCAATGGAACCAGATACTTCTACAGGTGTGAGAGCGCTATGGGTGAATAGAACAGTTAGTCAAAAGATAAAATATTTGCATTGCAACAATCAGACTGCTGTAGTGTCACCTGGCAGAGAATCAAGAGCTATTTCCGACCAGAGACCAGTCTCTTCGTCAGCATGACTACTCATCAGTCTCTCATGTTTTGTTGTTTTTATCTTTGAAATGTCACCCTTAGAAAAACTTTTTTATGTATTGGTTTTACTTGTGTGTTTTTTCTCGATTTGTACGTCTGAATCAGATTGGAGAGCACGTGAGTATTTGTTTTACGTCATAAAACATTTTTGAGGAAAATAGTGTGTAGGCTAGATTAATTGTATTTATCAGGTACTGTAGTTTTAGATAATACATCGAAAGTGTTTATAGTTGGCTGTACAATATTTTGTAAACTTTTACAACTTTTTTGTGATTTATTGACAATACTAGTCCATTGTATTCCTTTACATCTCGCAATATTAATTTGAATGCAATAAAACTATTTTGCATTGTAGAGTATTAGTTTTAAGTAAGTAATTAGTTTGTCAAGTTTCAAGAACTATGGGCCTCGTATTTTAAGCAACCATTCAGTGGATGTATTTAAAGCAACAAATGGTGGCCACATTTAAGTGTAGGTACCTATTAATTATGTAAAACAATTTTTCACCACACTATGATGTTTTTAGCTTTTTTACATACATTAATTGGTGGCTGAACGCTACATTTTGCTGGCCATGCCAGCTGTCATTGTCATTTGGGGACTGAGCAGGTTTTTACATCTCTAGGGCCGCAAAATCAGCTGTAAGCTTACATTATAATACACATTCAGAATCCATAGCATTGTAATAGAATTGTTTTATTGTCACCTAGCAACTATTTATTATTATTTTTCCTACAATCACCCGACAAAGTTGGCTTCCTTGTACTGTTTATAGTACAGAAAGCTGCTAGTTGCTGCATATTTATACTTTGCCGCACAGTTTATACTTTGTCGTACGGTTTATACTTTGCCGCACATCAAAATTCCAACGAAACAACACAAAACAGCGTGGTTCTATTATGCACGTAATCCGTGTACGCTTGGAAATAGGTTGGCAACACTTAAAGATAATAATACTATGAGCAGCTGATTGACTATTATAACTACGATTTAACCTGTCATTTCGTGTTTATAGTTTCGGTTTTTCTGAACTTTCTGGACTTTTCTTTTAAACGTTTTTAAAACATTCCTACGATCTTAATAAACAAGAAAATACCTTTAAAGCATTTTTTTAGGCGCGGAAACCACTTCAAATTACAAAAACATACGGAACTATATTTTTAAAACGCGGAGCACATTTCTTGCCGAGGAAAAATAGCGGAGTGATACGGACCGCGGGTACTACTTTCTCTAGGGCACCATTTGTGTTGCCAGCTGAACCTAAAAACATGTTGTATAGTGTTTGAAAGACTAATTATTTATATGCTTTATAGTGACTGTAGGAAAAATATAATGTGTAACACGAGTGAAAAAGGCCTTTGCTGCACTCGAGATCATTCCGCACGAGCCGCAGGCATGTGTAAACATTGCTCTAGTGTGCAGCAAAGTGCCACTTTCACCACTAGTTACACAAATAACTATTTGCTGATTCTTTAAATTATTTTTTCACATAACCTTAAAGTTGAATTGACTATCAGTGTGCAGTGCATTAGTATTGTGGTGAATAGTGGTAATATAGTAAAGTGTGGTGAAAAATTGCGTTTGTACCACGGACCGAAATGGTTTTGCAGCTCTCGATCGTTTTAAGTTTGAGACTTTGTCTCGAACTTGAACACTATCTTGAGCCGGCAAAACCTCATTTTCGGCCCTAGGTACGAAATATACTATTTAACCCGAATAGTTCAAAATATTTTATTTTTCCAACTATTATTTTTTCTAAGCCCTAAGATTTGTTTACGTCAAACAAATGGAACAAAATGAATTCTCACATGGGCTTAGTATTTTTTCCTAAAATTTACTATTATTAGGGAAGTAAAGTAATGGGATATGCCATTATCAGTGTTTGATTGGTAAATCTTTGAGACGTTGTTTGTCTGCAGATACTCGGAAGTACGGAGAAGCATGTGTCAATCATGATGAATGCATTGACTTCCGCATGATCTGCCCACAACCTGAGGCTACGTGTCAATGTGATCAGTAAGCCTCTCAAGTATAATTGCTCAAATAAAACTAACTCTATCACTGTTGGGTATTTTTTAGTAGCCTGGATACTAATACAGTAGATTAAACACACCCCCTATTGGATTTATAATACTTATGGATAAGCTAAATGCAGTTTTACTATACATATTGAGTAACACTTATTGGTATTTATGTGTATATTTCAAACTTCATATAAATTTTTTTCTAGCAGTGACAGTACAGTAGATTCCCTCTCATTCAGACACCTTTGGACCATATTTTAGTCTGAATTAAATTAAAATTGAAACCACCAAAAGTAGGCTAATAATTTTGTAAATGAACAACTAAAAATATTAATCACTGAATGTTCAGTCATCTGGTGAGAGCCGCGTTAGCCTACACTAAAAAGCATTTTGTACCAACTTGACGAGGCTCTCACCGAAAGACAGAGAATTCAGTGAATGATGTGATTGAATTTGTGAGTCATGCGATAAAACAAAGAGTTTTCTGTAGTAATGCATAGGCAGTCGTCTAACCCCAAAGGTGTATCATGCTCGATCAATATTTTAGCATCCTAATGTTATGGCTATAGAGCTCGTGTTAAAAAACTTTAATTTTACATAAACAAAAAAGAGTTTTTATAAGGTTTACTAATCCGTAAAGAATTTCTCCAACTATAAAGGGACTGCAATTAAAGTAGTCTAATAACTTTTCCAGATTCCACGACTGGATCGAGTTAGATGCTTACACCTCTGAATGTGTGCTCAATGAAACAAGACTGCGAACGTTTTTGGCAAAGCAAGAGGAAACCAAACATGAAGGTAAAGAAAACAATTGGAATGCAGTTAGTTGACAAAACCAAAACATTCATGATATCAAAATGACTGATAAGACACTCTCTTGTATATTTGACCCCGTTGTGGATTAGCGAATGAGGACAATATACATATGTTAGTCATGTTTTGTATTTTAAAATTGGATTTTAATTTACCACACTTGAACCACTTGTGACTTGTACCATGTTTTTGACTGTTGCTAGATGAGTTGTCCGAAGAGGCTCACAACTTATTCCTCTACCTTGGACTGTCTGGAATCGTAGCAATCTCGTTCGGAATCCTGCTGACCCTCGCCTGTGTTATATTTGTATTCACGTAACGATGTTCAATTTTATATGTGGAAATATAACTTTTTTTGCCTTCAGCTTTTTACATCCCCTCCTCCACTCCATTTAAATATAAAGTGATTTAAGTTAGTTTATTTGATCAGTAAATTAGGGATCAAGATGATGGTACTGAAACAAGTGATTCAAAACTTTGTAACTTGTCTACCATAAAATAGCCTACCCACAATGGTAGTTTAAATTCCATAATTTTTGTAATCAAGAAAATGTATAGAGTAACCCTCATGAAAATAGACAGCTTGCAACAGCTGTTTAAAGCACCTAATGTATTTTATAAAACATTTTATATACTATATAGATTACTGTAACACCTGTGTCTAAGGAACATGTCCACCTTAGTCACTAACAAGACTACAAGATCCCGCCACTCATATTTGGGTTAAAATACGCACAGTGGCGTCCCCATCAAATAATTGATTGATAATTTGAAATATTGATCAAACCTGGCTGAACCAAATTTAAGGGCACTATAGCCTACTTTATGTTTTGTTTAAGTAGGCTATATTTCATACCTCTCGTATATTTTGTAATTGACCATTTCTAACTAAAAAACAATAGTATGCCGGGTGAAATACAGTACATTCGAGTTTTAACATAAAACCTTAATTTTTTTTATTGTCAAGAAATTTAACATGAAACCAATTTTTGACACAGCTTGGCCCTCATGAGCAAACTTTTTGTAGATCTTTTTGAATCTTGAAAACATAAATTAATAGAATTTTTCCAGATTTTATTATAAGATTATTTACAAACAAAAAAACATTCTGAAAGTGGAAAATTAATACCGAATTAAATTTTGACCTAACAGCTGAGTTGAAATATTTCAATATACATAAGTGATGTGCGAATTATTGTGTGAATGGATTTTCAGTGTTGACAAACATTTCCCATATCACTGTTTTAAATCATATTATTGTCATTAAATTTTCATGATTAGTTAAATTAGTACTTGATCAAAACAAAAATAGTTTTTATTTTGCTTAATTTAGAAAAAAAGTATTGAACATTGTTTAGTGAAATCAGTCCGTAATCAAACAATGATAAACAGAGCTGTGTAAAGGTTAAGGTTGCAGTCATTGTCAATCAACTACAGTTCTTGCTGTGAATATTCATTGGGCAAAGGAAACATTTATTGGTCAACCAAATGGTATGTAACCTATCTTTACTCGTATTTTAAAAGATAACACAACCAGAATTGGGGCTAATTATAAAAAAGATTTTCAGCTTCAAGTTTTAATATTGTTACTGTTCAAATATTTCAAATATGTTTTATTTTTATCTTTAATTTTTGCTTTTACAATGAATTTTAACCTTTATGAATACTTTCAACCCATATGAAAATTTAAAAATACTAACACTGTACCGAATACCGATACATAGCAATTTTAGAAGAATTTAAATAAACTATTCCAGCCAATCAAACAACAATTTTGTACAGTAGTATCCACTCGAATTATATAATTTCATCCTCTACTCAAATTATATTCAGAGTGCATAACCACAAAAGTATTGTTGTAGTAGAGACATTATTTAATTGTACGTCACAGTCCCTGGTCATATCCTGGAAATCACATTAAACATTATTTGTTGTGTTTATACACTAAGCAGTAAAATCATAACAGATTTGCTTTGAATCTGCTATTAATCTTTTATTTTCTAACGATAATGTCCAGGTTTTTAGACAGAAACATTGAAAACTCTTTTGATGATCCCTAATAGAAACAGCCTGTGGCTACATGGTTTTGCCATTAATTTGAATCTGCTAATTACTGTCTCAACTATACTTTAAATGTTAAAATTATCATATGATCAGCTGACTGTTTGTAAACTTTATATTTGATTTTATTGTAGTTCTTTCTTAATACAAAAGTGTTTCAATGTTATAATCTCTTCTTTTAATTAACTTATTTTGTGTTAGTATATTTATATAAGGCACAAGCCTTATTTGGTGACCCCTTACTGTACTTTTTATTGTCATTAATTCAATTGGACCATAATGAATAATCAAGATTCTACTCCAACTCCTAGTACACCAGAGGCTTCACAAATCTCAACAATTCAAGTGAAAATTCCACCATTTTGGTCAAAAAATGTTTCACTTTGGTTTCATCAAATTGAATGTCAGTTTTCTCTTCATGGAATTTCAAAGGAAAGAACTAAATACAATTATGTAATGAGCTCACTGGACAATGAAGTTGCAAGTCACCTTTCGGATTTTATTACCAAACCTTTGTCACAAACTCCCTACTCTGACTTAAAAGAAAGGCTCTGCTCAGAATACGAAATTTCAGAAAATGCCAAACTAAAACAACTGACAACAGAAGTTTTTCTCGGAGATAAGAAGCCGACAACTCTTCTTCGTGAAATGAGAACCTTAGCAGGCACACAGGTAACTGACAGTTTTTTGAAAGTTATTTTCCTACAACGTCTACCTAGTCACATTCGTACTGCTCTAGCTGCTTCTCAAACCAATTCTCTTGATGACTTAGCTAAATTAGGTGACCAAATAGCTGAACTATCAGCTGTCGACAACTACGTTTGTGCTCAAGGAGATGTTGCGCAATCTAGTGATCGGATTGCCAACTTAGAAAAACAAGTCAGCGAACTAACTCAGTCTATTGATGGACTTCTTAAGTTAAGTAAACGCAACTTCCCAGTCAAACATAAGAACAATTACTATCCTAAAGAGAGAAATGATCAAGGTGAAATTTGCTGGTATCATAACAAATTTGGTGAAAATGCTAAAAAATGTGTTCAACCTTGTTTGTTCACACCAAAAAAGAATGCACAACAGGAAAACTTCCTGCCCCGTCACTAAATGCGGCTCAGGATGACAGGGGCTTTCAATCTCGCCGCTTATTTGTAACCAACTTACCCTGTGGTCGTAAGTTTCTCGTGGATTCTGGAGCAGACATATCTGTTTTGCCTCTCACAAACAAAGACAAATGTGCTGTAAGTAATAGACAATTATATGCTGCCAATGGTTCTGTTATCAAAACGTACGGTAAACAAGACATAAAACTTGATCTAGGCTTGAAAAGAAAGTTTGTCTGGTCTTTCATAGTTGCAGACGTAACCCAACCCATAATTGGCGCAGATTTTTTATCACATTATGGTTTACTTGTTGATATCAAAAATAAAAGACTAATCGATAACAGGACTCAATTATCTGTTATTGGAATTCAAAAACTTTCAAATCAACAATCTGTATTGGTTCTTGACCCAAAAGGTAAATACTCAAAACTTATCAACCAATATCCTAATTTACTGAAAGAAAATCCTAATTTTCAAGTTTCACAGGACACAGTTTTTCACTCAATTCAGACAACAGGTCAGCCTGTGAACTTTAGAGCTAGACGTTTATCTCCAGAAAAACTTGCGGTAGCTAAAAATGAGTTTCACAAGATGGTTGAGTTAGGCATTTGCAGACCTTCAAAAAGCTGTTGGTCCAGTCCACTTCATTTAGTTCCCAAAACTGATGGTACATGGAGACCTTGCGGGGATTACCGTGCCCTAAATGCAAAAACAGTTCCTGATAGATATCCTATACCTTATTTGCATGATTTTAACAGCCAGTTAAATGGAAAAACTATATTTTCTAAAATTGATCTTGTTCGGGCTTTTCATCACATTCCAGTAGCTCCTGATGACATTCCAAAAACTGCTGTCATAACGCCTTTTGGATTATTTGAATTTCTAAAAATGCCATTTGGATTAAGGAATGCTGCACAAACTTTCCAGAGATATATTAATTCTCTTTTGCATGATCTAGAGTTTACCTTTTGCTACTTAGATGATATTCTAGTAGCATCCTCCTCAGAAGATGAACATATTAATCACTTGCAAACTGTTTTTGATAGACTTAATAAGCATCACATTAATATTAATACGTCAAAGAGCGTATTTGGCGTGACTGAGATCTCTTTTCTTGGTTACACAGTTTCGAAACAAGGAATTTCTCCTCTTCCTGATAAAGTTGAAGCTATTGTTAGTTGCAAACTTCCTGAAACCATTCTTGAGCTTCGTAGATTCCTTGGACTTATAAACTTTTACAGAAGTTCACTTCCTAACGCAGCTGCTATTCAGCAACAACTATTTGATTTGTGTAAGGGTACACATAAGTCTGATAAACGAAAAATAATTTGGACTTCAGAATCTAAGAAAGCTTTTGAGGATGCAAAGGGCCAGCTAGTCAATGCCACACTTCTAGCACACCCATCTCCTGATGCTCCTTTAGCTCTCATGGTCGATGCATCAAACTTCGCTATAGGTTCGTCTCTCCACCAGATTTGTAATGGAAACTTTGAACCTCTTGGGTTTTTCTCTAAATCCCTTACAACAACTCAACAAAAATACAGTACCTATGACAGGGAACTCCTGGCTGCATACCTATCTGTGAAGCACTTCCGTTATCTCCTTGAAGGGCGAAGTTTTGTTATATATACAGATCACAAACCTCTATCTTTTGCCTTCAATAAACCCTCTGATACATCTAGTCCAAGGCAATTGCGTCATCTAGACTTCATTGGACAGTTCACTACCGACATAAGGTATCTTCCAGGAAAACAAAACATTCCTGCTGATTTCATGTCAAGAATAAGTGCTATTAACCTACCTTCATCTATATCATTTGAACAAATTTCTGAAACTCAATCTCAAGATGCTGAACTTAAAAATCTGAAGTACTCAAACACAACTTCTTTGATATTCAAAAATATTTTACTTCCTAATGGCTCAGAGCTGTGTTGTGACACAAGTACTGGAAGACTACGACCGTTTATTCCTCAGCAGTTCAGAAAACAGTTATTTGACTCCCTTCACAACCTGGCACATCCTGGAATCAAAGGATCTCTGGACCTTATTAAACAACGTTTTGTTTGGCCTTCCATGAATAAAGATGTCAGACTTTGGGCCAAAGCATGTGTAGCTTGCCAGAAATCAAAGGTTTGGAAACATACTACTTCTGAGATTGGAGCTTACAACAACATAAATGGACGTTTTTCTCACATTAATGTGGACATAGTTGGACCCTTGCCACCTTCTCAAGGATTTACGTACTTGCTAACTATCATAGACCGCTTTACACGATGGGTCGAAGCAACGCCTATCAAGGATATTACTGCTGGAACAGTTGCAGAAGCACTTCTTTCTACCTGGATTGCTAGATTTGGAGTTCCTCAAAACATTACTACAGATAGAGGAAGACAATTCGACTGCAATTTATTTCAGGAATTAACAAAACATCTCGGTATCCATCACATTAAAACTACAGCGTATCACCCTGAAGCTAATGGAAAGATCGAGAGATGGCACCGACATCTGAAATCTGCATTAACGGCTCAACTCACATCTAACTGGACACAGACGTTACCAATGGTTCTACTGGGACTAAGATCTTATATTATTCCAGAACACAACGTTACTGCTGCAGAAATGACACTAGGTCAGTCCATCAGACTGCCATGCGATCTTTTTCAAACTACAGAAGATACCTCAACAAATGTTCCTGATTTAGTGTACAATCTGAAAAGAAAAATGAATGATCTCAAACCAATAGAAGCCAAATACCATTCTTCTAAGAAGGTCTTTGTTCATCCAGAATTAAGAACATCCAACCATGTTTTTGTTCGTCATGATTCATCCCGAAGACCGTTGCAAGCTGTCTATGATGGTCCTTACCAAGTGGTTTCGCGATCTGACAAGTGGTTTACTATTCTTACTCCACGAGGACCTACGTCGATTTCTATTGACCGACTCAAACCGGCATTCCTCCTTCAAGATTCTATGAACGGTACGACCATTAACGTAAGAAAAAATGACATGAAACCTAGAGAAACTCAAGTAGACAAGACCAAAGACAGAAATGAAGATGTTGACCTTAAAAAAACACTGATTTTTACAAGATCAGGTCGTAGTGTTCACCCCCCGCATCGTTACGTTCCTCGTTGACACTGGGAGGGGAGTATGTGGCTACATGGTTTTGCCATTAATTTGAATCTGCTAATTACTGTCTCAACTATACTTTAAATGTTAAAATTATCATATGATCAGCTGACTGTTTGTAAACTTTATATTTGATTTTATTGTAGTTCTTTCTTAATACAAAAGTGTTTCAATGTTATAATCTCTTCTTTTAATTAACTTATTTTGTGTTAGTATATTTATATAAGGCACAAGCCTTAAGCCAATTCTATGAACATTTACAATTTTGACTTGAATTTAATCTACTAATTAAATAACATAGGGCATAAATCTACCTTGATCAGTCAGACACATTACGTCTCCAAAGAGATGTTAGAAATGTTTTATTGACATACCTGTAGATATCTAAAATGGTTGGGTATTGGTAGCTTAACAATGTTTAAAATTATATAAAATATAAGTATAAAATCATTCTAGGACAAATTTCAAGTAGAAGGCCATCAAGAACTTTTAGAACGACTTATCAAGCTTGAGGGAAGATTAAATTCCTTTGTTGAATTCTATGAAGAATTAGGTGTACTCTACAGACAACGCAAACAACTGATACAAAACTTTTTAAAAAACATGAAAGAGGAAACACAACTCAAAACGGAAACACTTAAGAAACAAGTGACATTTGAACAAAGTGACTTTACTGATGATACTTCATCAACAGGACAACAGTTAAAGAAGACAAAATCCATTGCACTAATTTACGATCTCCTCGGTGACTTGAGCTCATATCACGCTGACGTAAACAAAAAAATCAGCGATTTACAGCTTTTAAAAAACCAAAACGAACCCGTATCGGCATATTCAGAGTTGGATACGGTTTTATCTAGTTTGCATGCAGAGAAAGACGAGCTAGATAATAAAATAATACAATTTGTAATAAAAAATACTGTGGAAGGAAAAGAAGCTTTGTTAAATGTTATTTTAAACTTGGAGAATGAGAACAATGGGATGAAAAATTCCATTTGTTTGTTAGAAAGTAGAATTGACTATTTGAAAAATACCATAACGGCATTGATGTTGGAAAACCACTCTTTAAAGAGGGAGGAACAAAGATTGTCTGAGGTTATAAGAAGAAGTATTGTGGAAAAAACTGTTTCCTTTGTTTTGCCGAGGTCGTTGAGAATAAGCCGTTTGTCAGAGTTAGACGAGACCCCAGAAGTTGTGGAAGTGTCTAGTTTGACCTTGGTATGATTTTATTTTACATTTAATGTACATTACAGATATTAATCTAACACTACAAAATATGTTTCACAAACTTCAACTGCTCATTGATGGCTAAAAGCTAAAGTGAGTGGAGGCATTTGGGTGTTTTTCCACTGAAACATTGCTACCAATAAAATCCGTTGTAGACTATATACATCTAAAGTGGACAAAAAATCTGTAATATGCTGCAAACTAAATCCCTAGTTAAATTTACCCATATAGTAAAGAACCAAAACATTTTTTGTACTTTCAACAAAGATTACCATATAGCCTACCAACCGAGAACAGCACTAACATCAAAGAAATCTACCTAATTTTACTTGAAATTTGGCTAACAAAAACATTTAACATACAGCACCAGTAAGTTTTGTTGGTGGATCTAATAATCGATAGGCAAATTTAAAGATTTCTATACCTTTTCCACATCTTTTGTTAATCCAGCCATACAACAAATATAGGCTATGTAAAATAAACTTAAGTTTTGAAATGCCTAAATACAATAGGCCCTAGGCTACTTCAAACTGGTTTAGTCTAAACTAATGTCTAAACTAAACTAATTAAGTCCCACTATGTCCAAATACACATTTTATAACCTAACAAGTCACTACCTGTTTCCCTCACACAGCATTACTCAATGAGCAGTTACTCGCCGAATCACAACTAGTGAGGATGGGCGTTCATCTAATCGTTATTCGACGAACGTCAGTGCTAGTAGCTTTTGACGAATATTCGCTATACCCGCAGGTAACAGACTGTTTGGATTTGAAAGTGATAACAGAAAATGTGGGGACATCAAATAACAGTAGCTCGCCACTTGTAGAATATTCAGTGCTTGGCAAAAACCGCATGATCGGACCCACCTTTATACTAAAGTACGTACAGTAGACTCCCTCTTATCCGGACTCCTCGGGACCGATGCCAGTCCGGATAACGGGTTTTCCGGTTAAACCGACGTCCCCAAAAATTTTTTTAAATGGACCGTTTAAATGCATAATGTATACAGTATTTGACTTAAATTTAGGAGAGCATTGTATTTATACAAGTGATTGCTGGTCTCAAATCTTTCCCACGAGAATAGTCGTTTCAGTACTGCCCACTTCCTGCCATTCTGGTCCGGTTAAGACGATGTGCTGATAAAAATTTTCCGGTTAAAGAGATGTCATTTCCGCTGAGTGTAGTCCGGTTAAACCGATGTCCGGTTAAAAGGTGTCCGGATAAGAGGGAGTCTACTGTAATGTTGAGACATTTTGCTGTATTTTTATTGTTAAATTTAGTACTGTAATTCACTCATTTTGCATCTAGATAATGTTTTAAAAGCAGGCCATGCATTTATTTTTATACTAACTTCTGATGGTACGACATTTTAGAGTTTAAGTTTGGACAACTGTTTTTCTATTGAGATATCTAAATGAAAGGGATTCTACTACAAGTTTAAATCTCGTAGTAGGCCTACTTATAGTTAGTGTAGACTTAGTCATTGTAATAATTTGTATCATGTAGCAATTTGTATGTGGAATAAACCATTCATTCATTTATCTTGAATCTTTTGCAGGAGCAAGAAGACGTTCTATCCATTCAGAGATCTACTGATTCTTTCAACCTTGACGCAGCGATTGCATCTTGGCCGACAGATGAGGCTTCTTTGCAGAAACATGTTAATCGGCTCGCAACAGAACTCGAAGTGTTGGAAGTTAACCACATGAAGCTCAACTTACTGAAGCGTTACGTTCAGAGACATGGGTCTAAGTATATAAACAGGAACACACTCATCGATCCTACCAAAGGCATGTCTCTGTGGCATAATAAGTGATTTGGACCTGATTATGTATGTTTAGTAAAAGATTCATTCATTATTTTCTTTCCATACCGGCACAGCTTTTTTAAACCAATAAAATTAATATAGTTAATCAGCAGGGTTTTGTGTACGACCTCGATTTCTTTTTCAATATTTTATTCCTATTCAAATACTACCTAGGGTATCCATGTAGCCATGGGAGTAAGTAAGTATGTGTACTGTAGGCCTACCGTATTTATAAACCCTTTGTGCTTGGCTGACCAGTCTACTGGTCATATTGTTTAGCTTAGATTTGTTTCAACGTTTGCTGAAAATTTGATTTAAAAAATTAAATCATTATGCAATATGATATAGGTCATACTAATATAACAAAAAGTTAATTGATAACTTGTTGGCGTTTCTACCAAATACTTAAGACAGCTGGAAAGAAAATCCTGAAACACTAGGTCTACTAAACTACTGAAAACCCTTGAAAATTCAAATTTATTTCAAATAGTTAAAATACATTAAATTACTGTATAAAAATGTACACATTAGTCATACATCTATGAAATAAAAACAACAAACTTACAACTGTTTATTCAGTCTCCGTCAGCATACCGTCATCCCATTGCTCTTTGCATTTCGAACAGTCACTGTGACCACTTTCTAACCACTTGTAAACACAATGTCGGTGAAACTTCTGATCACAATTTGGACAAACCTTACCAAAAAACACCAATTGTCTGCACAACTCACATGACTGTAGGTTGTCTTCTAGCGAAGCTCTGAAAAAAGGTTCAAATTCCACAATAGCCAAAGGTGAAAGCGCCAACTTCCCTTCGGGTAGTTCCAGAAATATTTTATCCTTCACGAACTGTCTCAACGTGTTGTCAGCTTCCATCTTGGAAAGTGTAGTACAGCTGTTGAGTGCTGCTATCTTTCCTATCATGCCACTCTCAGAAAGCACAATGCCAATCAACAGCTTCTTCAGGAACTCAAGCTGAGACTGGCTAAACATGCAACTCTTTGGAAAAAATGATTCTCCTGTCGAGTGGATGAGAACAAAGTAAGTTTCACCGCTTACGTCGCAACAGACACTTTTAATGTCCATTTTCAAAGCATTGATTTTAGATGTTATTATTTTTAGAGATTCTTTTAAATTTTCACTGTCATTGAACAGTTTTCCATGGATTCTAGAAACGTCCATCTTCTTCGACATTCTTGCATGCATCAGGTATTGCAACAACAGCTGATGTTCGTCAGATAATGAACCATCTGAAAAAAATAAAAACACAACTAGATTTAAGAATTAAAAAGAAAGTCACCTCTGGTTACACAGGGACACGGAGAAAATCCATTGTTATGTTTACATAAACATTGTTAACAAAATGTGAAATAAAACAGCTGGTAAAATTGAAAAATTACCGAGATATTAAAACTTTTTAAATATGAGTTATATAATGGTTATATTCTTGGTTTGATTTACAGTATAAGCCTGTTAACATTTTGGTATGCATAATCACAAAAAGCAAGTACTAACAATGCTGCTAACTGTGCTTACTTGATCTGTTAACCATAGTTTATTTTATGTTATTTTTTACTACGATTTGATGGCGTGACAACACCATAGTGTCTTATACTATATCTCTGGGGATCTGAAACGCCAACAACAAAGCACATCTTTGCGCTGCAGAAGAAGGCTGTGACATTGCGGAGAGGGACTTGTAGATTAGCCTTTGTAAAATTAAGACTCCTTATTTTTTGTTGCATTTACATTTTAAAAACCTTGATGTTTTTAAAACAAAACCATAATTGTTTTGAGCTTTCCAAATCCAATTGCAACATCAGAAAAAAATCCAGTTTTAACAATCCATAGCCTACCACAAAAACTTCTTTTTCAAAAACCAGGTCTTTTATAATGCAACAATACTATTTAACTCACTGCCAAATAAACTTAAGACGGTTAAGTGATATTAGGGAATTCAAAAGTAAACTTAAATTGTTTCAAGTAGAGGCCTAATAGTTTTTATAAGTTAGTGTAAGAGATTATGTAAACTACACTACAAGAATGTTTAACAGGCAATGAAGAAATACCCCCGCCGCAGCAAACCTGCAGACTAAGCGAATTTCCATTTGCCTGATTGGATTTACTCTAAAATATCTCCTTAAAAATATCACATTTATTCCCTATTTAAATAGAATCAGTTTAACACATAGTTAGGTTTGCTGCAACAGGGAGGGTGAAAGTGTTTTTTTTATGTAAAATGTTAATAGTTAGTAAGAAATAAAAACATTTTCCAAATTTGGGCAGAACATGTTAATAAACAAGCAAACTACAACAGTTTACTTATTCTCCATAAGAATAACATGAGAATTTTAAATTTACAATTTTTTGGAATTTTCTCCGTAACCATTAGGCGCATTATAACGCTTCAATATACTAAATTATTTGTTTTTTTAAGCTCTACTAAATTGTTTGGAAAGAAATTGCAAAATTTTATGTTTTTTGAGTCAAAAATGGGAAAAACCCATTTTTACCCCATAAAAGCCCCCATAAACCCCCGTTCCCATGGTCCAATCATGCTGGTTCGCGAACTCGTTCGAATAAACGTAGGTTTACAGGTTTGTACCAAATTTCATTAAAATCGGATCATTTTTGCTCGAGTTATCGCGCTAACGGACACATATATATATATAAATATGAAAAATAGAAAAATAGGGCTACTATATATAAATAAAGATTAAACATTAATAAACTTAGTACCCAAGTAAAATTATTTATTAAAATATTTACTAATAAATAATAATAAGTAAATATTTTAATAAATAATTTTACTTGGGTACTAAGTTTATTAATGTTTAATCTTTATTTATATATATAAATATATATATAAATATATATATATATATATATGAATTTGAACGGATGGTGTTTTTGGCCTCTAGGGACCTCAAAACGAAAAAAAAAATCGGTCCCGGGTCCAGGTCTTACCATGAGTACTACGGTAATAGCTTATTCCCTACATGGGAAATTCGCTAATATTTGATTTGATTTGGTTGTGTGTATAGGCCTACATACACACTAAGGCAAACAAATATAAACAGTAACTCCATCAGTGTTCCAGAGATTTTAAATGTAAAATTTACCTAAAATATTTGTTGCTTACCAGTATCAACTTCCATTAGATCTTGTGTACCACCTGAGTGACGTTTTCTTGATCTTGAAGACATTATGCTGAAACATAACATGTGTTATAGCCTAAGTTAGGCCTAATTGTGGTATTTGTTACTAGGTAAAAAGTTACTTAACTAATAATAACTTTTGCGTAAAATATGCCTAATTTAAATCAAGCCATTAAGTTACTTTGTACATTAGGTAATTTAGCCAGGTACAATTCTTCAGAGAACCTGCGGTATTTTATCGGATGAATAGGCCTAACGATAAATATCTGGATCAATACTAATATCGCATGGAATTTAATTTCACGATATGACATAAACAGAGGCCACATACTTTACAGCGCGCTGCGACGGTTAGGCTAGGTTAGGTTATCACATGTTGGTAGGACTTTCCTCGTTTTGTTATGAATCAAACGATACCAGATGAGTCATAAAAAAATTATGATAACCCAACCTAACCGCCGTAGCGCGTATATGGGTGGTCTCCGTATAATAAAAAAGTACCGGTAGGCCTACCGATACCGTATAAGTTTAATAAAAACCATAACAAAATAACCATAAAAAACCATAAAAACATTGCTGGTAACAAAGCTTTTTTCTTTATTTTATCCTTAGTTTTTTCTTAGATAGACCTATTAAAGAATAAGTACAAATAATGGATGAAAACATGAATTTTCGATTTCTAGGCCAATGTTGTTACTATACCAACAGAAGGCTATCAATATTAACTTAGGCCTATAACCAAGTTCGTAGGGTTTTGGTGGAAAAGATTTGAGACCAATGATCATGTGTCTAAATACAATGCTCTACTAAATTTAAGTTGGTAAACAGTCCGTTTTAACGAGTTTTTGGGGACGTCAGTTTAACCGGAAAACCCGTAATCCGAACTGGCCTTGGTCCCGAGGAGTCCGGACAGGAGGGAGTCTACTGTAGTTTTATTTAAGCATGAAATATCAATAAAATCGTAAACAAAACATAAGTTTACTAAAATTTTACATTAGCCTATTTTAATTGTTTTAGCACTTTACTTTGGATTTAACCCTAACTTACCACCTTAATTCAGAAAACTTAATTAATATTAAGATAACAAGGCTACTTTATTTATTATTGGAGTGGATAAAATCGCCTTTTACAATAGCCAACGTCCTAAAATGATTCAAATGATTCAAATGATTTATTTGGCCATTCAGTTCATATACAGGACAATAGGCTACGTCAACAATACAATAAATAATAAATAACATGCCAAGCTTCTTCTAGCATTCTTGACTGACAAAATTAAATTAAAAGCTGAAAAAAAAACACATGCAGGATCTCAAAAACATGCAAAGCAATGCATGCAACTAAAAATACAAATAAAATGAAAACCACATGCTGCAAGCCATGCAAGGCAGAGAAAAATAAATAAATTTACATTTTTGTAATACCTCTACTGGACTACTGTGGGTTCAACCCAATAGTAACAAGCTGTGCATTCCAAAACTCTTTAATGGAATAGAATGGATTGGCAAGCATCCAAGCTTTTAGTGTGGTCGCAAACTTGTTCGGTAAGAGTTGTCTTACAGTTATGGGTAAGGCATTGTAGAACCTTATTCCTGCAACAGGAAAGCAGTTGAGAGTTAAATCTAGTCTAACTCTATCTCTAAAAATATTTTCATTGTTCCTAGTGCTATAATGATGAACATTATTAACCAATGGAAAAGCTGATTCATTGTTCTTAATCTCTAACAGGCATTGGTAAATAAATACATTGTGTACAGGCATTATACCATGCTGAACAAACAGAGGTTTACAATGCTCAAGCTGATGGACTCCACACAAGACCCTGACAGCTTTCTTCTGTAGTTTGAGTACTTTTTGCACTCCAGGGGAGTGACCCCAGAGCCTAGTGCCATACAGAATGTGAGCATGGAAAAAAGCAAAGTACGCAAGTCGAACAAATTCAAATGGCATGTCAGCCTTCAACCGTCTGAGCAAATGGATTACACGACTTAGCTTACCACACAGGATTTCAATATGATCGTTCCAATCAAGCTGAGGGTCAAGGGTGAAGCCCAGCAGCTTTACAGTGTTTTCTTCCCTCAGTTCCCTAGAAAGACTGAAAGTGATGTTTTGAGTTTTGGCTTGGTTCAGGCATAATTTATTGTTGCGAAACCAGATAGAAGCTACATCTAATAATTCCTGCACAGCAACTTTAGATACAGAAAAATCTGAGTGACTAGAAAAGAGAGTTGTATCATCTGCATATAGCAGGACATTGCCTGCAACACTGTGATACAAGTCATTGATTGAGATTACAAAAAGGAAGGGACCCATAATAGACCCTTGCGGGACTCCATTGTTCACCATCAGAGGATTGGAAGAGTTACCATTCCAAGTCACAACTTGCGACCTCCCTTCAAGATAAGATTTAATCAATGAGAGAGCATCGCCTCGTACCCCGTACCTTTCGAGCTTTGACAACAGGAGACTATGTGACACACAGTCAAAAGCGCGGGATAGGTCACACATTATAACAGAAGTAGAATTTCTAATCTCTAGACCATTTAAGATTTCTTGAACAAGACAGTCCACAGCCTGAACGGTGGACTTTCCTTTTTGGAAGCCAAATTGAGCGGGCACAATAAGGCGATGCCTCTCAAAGTAGCTGTACAGCTGCTCTAACATGACTGCTTCAAGCACCTTACCAAAGATGGGGATGATAGATATTGGTCTGTAACTTACAGTACTGTCCTTTGGTCCCTTTTTGTACACAGGTACAGTCCTACTAATCTTCAGAGCCTCAGGAAAGACTCCTTCTCTCAGAGATTTATTTACAATATCTACAATGATTGGCGCAACTACATAGATACATCTTTTTAAAAGCTCAACAGACATGTTATAAAAATCTTGACTCTTAGAGGATTTAAAGCTACTGACTACTCTAAGCAGCTTATCAACAGTAACAGGTGTCCATGAAAAATTGGTGGGAACAAATGGAACAGAATTAAGGCAATCATAAGGAACAGATGGATCAGGTTTACAAGAGAGGATTAATTCATCAACAGACTCAAGAAAATATGAATTAAACTCATCAGCAGTGCAAAAGTCTTTAGCAGGAACAGTAGTGGGGGTTTTATGCCTATTGATGTAGTTCCAGGCAGCCTTGCATGCATTTGGAGATGTAGCAATGGCAGTAGCAGTAGCAAATTGCTTCGCCTCCCTTACCTTCAAACGATAATGCTTCCTGAGATCACGAAGGTAGGGCAGCAATTGTGGGTTACTCTTGCATAAGTCACTGATACCTAGGATAAAGTTCTTAAAGGCAGAGAGTTCAGGTGTGTACCAGTTGTTTACACTGCACCCAGCATTTGCCTTGGCTGGAGGCACAGTCCTGCAGGTTTTATTTCTTAAGGGAAAACAATAGTCAAAAACTTTTCTGAAATTATCAAAGAAATAGTCAAAGGATTGTTCAGCATTAAATGATTCTATTTCAGAGAGCCACTTTACTGCCAGATCAGTCAATACACATTGAAAGTAACAGTAGTTACTTTCATTAAATTGTCTGTAAGTTACAGTTTTGACAGGATTATTTAAGTAGTCAGGTTCCTGCAGACCATGTTTGGATACACCTTCAGGTAGATCTAGTTTAAAAAAAACATGTTTGTGATCAGATATCTGATCTACACTTACATGGGCCATGTATCTCCAGCTATCAAGATTGGTAAGAACAGTGTCTAAAGGAGATAGACCACGGGTTGGTTCATTGACACTGAAGAATATATCATGGCTGCGGAGAATGTTCCTGAAATCACTGGCCTCACTTGGATGGTTGAGTATATTCACATTGTGGTCAGTGCCGATTATAATATCTAACCCCAGGGAAGTTAAATAAACTAGACACATGTCAAGTAGATAAAAAAAGCGTTCAAAACTACCACTAGGCGAGTGATACATGGTGACAACAATGAGATTCAAGTTAGAGATGATTATACCTGTAAATTCTGCATGCAGTTCTTCACAGTACTCACTTAAGTCTAACAAAGAGTAGTTCCACTTAGTATTAATATAAATTGACACACCCCCCCAAGGGGTTTTTCGACAAAAACAAGATACAAGGTCAAGGCTATTGATTCTAGAGTAGTATGCAGTTTCTGCCTCTAACAACCAATGTTCAGACACACAAAGCACATCAATGTCCAGTTGACAGCAAAGTATCTCAAGTTCAGCAATTTTATTGCGTATAGATTGCACATTTATAGCACACACAAGCAGGCTACTAGCAGATTTTCCCGTACTAGGCAAGATTTCAGGCCCATAACCTAGGATTGAGTTTGACGGGGCTGCATTTTCCCTAAAAAAGTACGAGAAGGAATGTAGCTTTTAACGTTATTTTGTCTGCCTGAACGACGTTCTTCAAACTCTTTTACAAAAATTCCCTCGGGCCAAAATTCAGGTTTCAATAAGTCCTTAACAAGATTATCAGAGACGCTTACCTTGAAACTTGTATAGTCTGAAAACCTGGTAGGTAGTTTCTCACATTTGTTACAAATAACATTTTCACTTTTTAGATAGGATTCAATGTCACTACTTTCCGTATCTGAAGAACAACGACTAACAAAAACTGCCTTGGATTTTTCCGCACGCTTGAGACCACTTTTGTCAGTATTTGAACCTATAATGGGTTTAGTCTTAGTTTTAGGAAACCTAACCTCTTCTTGAGACGTCTTGGAAGTTGTAGGTCTAATTTTGTTTCTAGGCCTACTGTCAGTATTGCTAGCTAGTACTTGGGAGTAGCTTTTATTCCTATTTTCAGTGTTTCCGGCCTCCTGTCCATTCACTTTGTCATCAGATTCGGAATTTGGTAGACTTGACTCTTGACTAGGCCTAGGTAGGCCTATAAGCTGAGAATGGGTTTCTGCAGAGGACCGCTTCTTGGTTTGTACAACATCTTCAAGTTTGTTGTTTAGTTCGAGGTTATTTTCAACAACTCCTTTAACGAGAGATATTAAGTTCTGGACAGTAGAATTTAGGTTAATAAATTCTTCAATATTACCAACTCTCGTCTGCAGACTTTTGAGGTTAACATCACAGGAGTCACAGAACCACTTGGATTTGTCCCCTAATTTGTTTACTAAGTCATATTCAACTGAAGAAATATTTACACAAGCAATGTGGTACCATTTGGAGCAAAAACCATCACAGAAAATCGCATTACAATTATTTTTAACTAATTTAAAACAAGAGCCACAATTAGGATCAACGTGACCATCCGCCATGACACTTGGGACCTAAAAGGTTTCACAAAATTCCATGTAGCCTACGTCTAGCCTAGCCTAAAAATACTAATTTAATCCTTACCTATTTTTATGGTTCACAAGAAAAGCTGTCAGTTAAATCATAAAGAAAAGTCAAACACACATTTACTGGACAAGTAAATGATACAAAAATTGATATTTCGCTTGTTTGTTATTATTTACTAGAGGTTAAGAGGTTTATTGAGTTAGAAAGAGCAGAGGTTAGGCTAGAGGCTGGCTATGATAGTAGAGTAGAGAGAAGAGAGAGGAGAACACAGGAGAGGTTATGTTTCGTTTCGATTCAATTCAAAACAATAAAAATTTTTTTCAATTGGTGAAAAGGCGCCAATGTCATATGAGGATGAGACAGGTTAGAGTAGATATAAGTTTGTACTATACGAAATTCAAGATTACGTCAGTCAAACTAATTTTTAGCTAATACGGCTAATAACATAAGGAAAGGAAAATCTTAGGTAACCAAGCGTTTAAACTATTACTACTACCCATTACATGATCTGTGCTTAATGGCTCATTGATAGGTATTATGCTCGCCTTAAAATCTGAAAGTCGCTGGTTCGGTGCTAAACGATGTCGTTTCCGTTTCCAATGGCGCAGGTCTTGAAACATCTCGTTCGAATATTTTCTCAGTAACTCGAAGACGATTACTTAATAACCTTTAACACTGTTAGTTTAAACTGTGTAGTTTGGCTTTAGGCTCAAACCAAACATAGCCCTGACCAAGCAACCAACAGCCCTGGTTTTAAACTGCTTTCAAAGTTTGGAGGACAAACATGGTATTGGTGTTCTTAATGCTTTAAAATGAAATGGCGACCATACAACGTAGGTATTAAGGTATTTTAAACAAGTATGAATGGAGAAGAGTGTAGGATGAGTGGCGCGATCTTGTAGTCTTGTTAGTGAGTAAGGCTGATATATTCCTTAAGACACAGCTGTTAATTAATAGCCCATACAGCAACTAAGGGACTTACAGGTTATAGTGGAATCCAAACCACATTTTTATCTTGGTTTAGTACTTCATCTATGGTATTAGCTAATTGGTATAATCAAAGATTACATATGCTATATGTAATCTTTGGTATAATTATCAGGATAGTGCTGCGGATAGTCGTACGGACGATATTCCACACCAGGGAATATCGTATCCACACTCCACAGTGCATGCGTATCCACAATTCGTGACCACCTAGTCGGTACAGGACGTTCTTGTATTGTAATCGATTTAGGATGATCTGTCAATTGTAAGGCACTACCAGCTTTCAAAACAGCGTTGTTGAATACCATGGTCCATGGGGTAAAAATGTAAAATGTCTTGCCTGTCAACATCAAGTCTATATTCAGTTGTCATAGACATGTTTTAAAAACCACTTTAACCGTTTTACCCATGCCTGTTTGTACAAACATGAACAATTAAGTACAGAATTTTAGTTCAATTTTATTGTAAAAATAAGCCATTTTGATTGTATTTAAAATTTATTTTCACTTTTGTTTTTTATGTTTTCTTTATTGAATATTGTTTTGTACATTTTTATAAATCATTTTGTTGGAATACAGATACAATTTATTAAATCATTTCACACCCATTTCTGATCATACAAGAGGGGTAATATACAATCAATATCTTGTAGTGCTTACAGCTTTTGTTAATATGTAGGCTAAAATGCAAGTATAACACTTAGCTATACGGCTATTCATGTTTGTGATTTTTGTATAACAAATATTGAATATATACAGTACTAGTAGCTATTTGGCTGAATTTAATCAAGCTAAATTTTGTAACCAGGGGCAGCTCCAGAGTGTACGCGCCCGGACCTACCCAAAATTATATTAGATATTTTAAAATTATAAATAAATAAAGTCATTTAATTATATGTAAATAAAGGAAAATCATTAAAACTCATTATTTTGCATTTACATTTTTATAAATTCTTCCCTTTTTGCCAAGGATCAAACTCCTTCTTGATCCTTGTCAGGCCTACCCAAAAAATTATTCCTATGGAGCCGTCCCTGTTTGTAGCTTAACAGGACCCAGATAAAAAAACAGATATTTTTCAAATAAAAAAATATCATCAAAATCACTAGCTTTGGCAAAATGAGATAAAATATTTATGTCCATACTAAAACAATTATGTTATTATAGTTCGGCCGCTTAGATAGCGACCTGCGTGCTAATGCTAACCAATGCTAGAGGAGGTTGCTATCTAAGCGACCGAACTATATAGTATTACTTATAGACATTATGTTATATATGTTATTAAGTTATACCTACTTGATGAAAAGGAAAAGGCGGCTTTAATAAAGATGTATCTAAATGAGGATAATTTTATATTTTCTATAAATTTACACTTTTTGTCAATACTTAGCAATTTGCAACTGGTATTATGCATAATAATAAGCACAAGGATGTTTTTAGCCTATTGCTAAATCCTCAATGACAGAATAATACTTTTTAAATGTTGTTTTATGTATTTAAATGTTTTATATATAAAACCTCAAGCAACCTTTAATTTCATTTAAAGAATCATAAAAAATATGTAAGTTGAATTAAATTACTCAGACCCCCAAACAAGATAATTACTGGAATTGAGTATTGTAAAATGAGTAAATACTAAATACCACCACTAGGTAAAAACCTCTTATCACAAAAACATTTTGAGCAGAGAAAAATATCATAAAAACAATTTTTTTAGTTTAATTATCCAAGCACGTTAACAATCATTTACAAAAGTAACAAAATCTTATTTCTAAAAGTACAAAGTTTTGCAAAAAATGCAAAAATGAAAGACTAAAGGAAAGTTAGGTTTAAAACCATCCTGTAAAAATTACATGTATTTTTTTGTCCTGGGAACACAACAAAAACTGCCCCCCTTCATGGAATCACTATTCTATAAAACAAAGTAAACCAAGAAGCCTTAACCATAAAGCAAGCAGGAACAAATTAATTTAAAACCTTACGTAAAAATAAATAAATTTGCCAAGTTTGACCAAAATATATACAAAAACAAGTTTACTTATCAGATAAGAATAACATGGGAATTTTTAATTTACAATCTTTTGAATTTTCTCTGTAACCATTAACTGTAAAAAAAACACATAAATAAACTAAATAATTTGTTTTTAAGCTCTTCAAAATGGTTTCCGGAGAAAAGTTGGAAATGTAATGTTTAAGCTTTTTAAGAGTCAAAAATGAGAAAAAACTATTTTTACCTCATAAATCCCTCCAAAAAACCCCGTTCCCATGGTCCGATCTGGCTGGTTTGCGAACTCGTTAAAATAAACCTAGGTTAACACTTTTGTACCAAATTTCATCGAAATAGGATCACTTTTGCTCAAGTTATCGTGCTAACGGACTCATATACATGTACGAGTTTGAACAGACTGTGTTTTCGTCCACTGGGGACATCAAAACGAAAAAGTAAACTGGTCCTGGGTCCAGGTCTTACCACGAGACCTACAGTAATAGCAATAGCTCATTCCCTATTTGGGAAATGTGCTAATAGATCAAAATGTAAGCCTACCTACCTCAAGATAAGACCTACTCCACTACTGAGCTTGCTAAATAAAGTAACTAATCAGCTGATGCAATATAAATTGGTATCATGGGACCGAATAATTTACAAATTATGACGTGTATTAATTCAATTATCAATTAATTGAGATGGGGACACCACCTAGGTGCGTTTTTTTTTACCCAAATAAAAGTGAAGGATGAGTTAGTAATGATGTGTAGATTTGTTACTGACTAAGATCAGCTGTTTAATCAGTCAGAATAATTTATTTAAAGCCTATTGAACAGAAAAGCTCAAATGAGAGCTCAAAAATGTTTACAAAAATTGCTACACCCCAGGTCTACCATGAACCTTAAGATAATCAGCAGGTAGAAATGATTCAAAATTAAACATAGCTAAACAAAGAAAATTACAATTTCATGCTAACTAGGATTTTTTTTACAAAAGTCCAATTGGTAAAATTCAAATTCCCACGTAACTTGGCTTTGTCAAAAGTGAATATTTTAATAACAGTGTCAATGCTGCATAAAATTTACAAACATAAAACCCCAAGTAGTCTAATCCTTCCACACTCTGCATTCTGAGCTATTTACAGGATTTCTAATAAATAACAATCAAGTATAAAACACATTTCTAGATAACAGTATACAATAGCTATATCACGTAAAACACAAAAGACATGGAAGACAAAACAATACACTGGTTGCAGCATAAAACCATCTAAAGAATAAGAATATTCACAATTTTTCTATAAGATGGTTTAAACACATACTTATCAATATAAAAATATAAACGATGGATCTTACAAGTTTATTCTAACCTTAGTATCCATTCTTAAAAAAAAATAAGTATAGGACCAAACATAAAATTTACTAATAGCATACTGGTAAAATAACACGGGTAAGGATAAAAAGCATAAACTGACCGATATGACACAGATACCTAAATAAACTTTACATAATTATTTACAATTTCTACAACTAAAACCCTATACTTGAATTCCATCATCGGAGCGTTTTCCTTTAGCTTTCAGTTTGTCTTCCATATTCAGCTTAGGAGCCTCGGTCCTAGTATGCCACACGTAAACCTAAAACAAAAATGCTATGAACTGAATTACATTAATTATGAATATAAGTCGACCAGCTGTCTAGGCTTTGCATATTTAGGTTTCTTCCCTAGGTTTTCTTATAAAGTCAGATTCCAGATCATAAACGTCATGAAACTTCTGTAGGCTATTACTCAGCAATGGAAAGTTTCCACATTCTCTTGTGAATATTGTTTTTGACATTGGTTGTGACAATGATTACCTACGTTTGAAACTGGGAATTTCGGACATTTATCATAACATTCCACATTGACAGTGTTCTCAAGTTTACATAATTGAAACCATGTGATTATGCACTCATGCAAAGTTTATAGCGTAATCGGATGCCTACTTCCGAGTGTAGCAAGAAGCTTTGACTTACCTTGGTGCAGTTGTCC